TCTAAATCGATGTTGGTTTTAATTGGTGTTGCCTGGTGTAGAAGTAATAACATTACGATGTTTTTGAGTTTAATAGTAAATTAATAATATTAAGAAATTAATAGTAAATGGTAGACTCCCTTTTGAATAACATCAACCAGTATAACCTGGTTGACAAAAATGAAATTCTAACAACAAGGCAATAAGGACAAATTAATGAAAATATACAAACATCATTTATATCAACTTGGAAAAGTGAATTACAAAACGACAATCAATCAAACCAAAATGAAATATAAATAAATTAAGAACATACAGAGAATTAAAAAACAATTTTGCTTTTGAAACCTACCTTGTTACCCTGCAAAATATTGAGACTGACAGGAATACCCTTTGCTAATGATAGATTATGTAACCTTTGTGATCAGAATCAAGTAGAAGATGAATATCATGCAGAAGTTTTACCCCGATAGAAATGTCTTATTTGAAATGGCAAAAACCAAAATTTGTCATCAAAGACACAATTCATAGCCTTGCTAAACAACAGTGGTCTAACAATCCCTGTAGCAAGGTACCTAAAGAAGTGTTTTGAAATAAGACAGCAACCCCAGTGACAATTTTCGTTCACAGTTAAGTTTTGCATTTTTTCTATCTTTTTATTGTATAATAATTTAGTCTTAATATTTTCTTTCTCTGTTACAGTAATGTATTAGCTTAGTTTTTTTGTATGCTTTTATTTTATATTATTTATTTAATTTTTTTAACCTTTTATTCTTTCTTAAATATTTAGAGCCATTGCCAATCCCTCCGGGGAATGTGTAAGTGTTAATAAAATTAATATTATTTAATTAATGACCCCGCACATTATTGATTGGCCTTGGCTAGTTGAAGCGGTTTTTAAATGGGCGACTCGATAGAAGTATTCGCCGTGACTCAAGACTTTTCATTCGGGTTAATACAACGCTTACATGTTACTGTCAGGAAGGTTTAATGTCTTGTTTGTATTTGCACAATGTGAAAGAGGGGTTTATTGTCAACATGTACTAGTACATGGGTGGTTGTATGCATATTGAACTATACAAAATTTGAATTATGTCACCAAACTATGCAATTGCAATTGTAAGATTATATTTCTGATATACTCGAAGTGAATCTCAGCACTGTACTTTTTATAAATGTTATGGTTCGGTTAATAATTTTCTGGAAACTGTGCAGAAAATCACAGACTTTCATTATTTTTTGTTCATAGTTTTTCTAAATTTCAGTTTTTGTTGTTCATAATTATTTACAGCAATAACACTTGTTTTCTTTTATGAAACCATTTCCAGTTATTATGAATGTGTACATGACAGCTTTCCCCCACACAATAAGACATGTATGGATATGTGCGAGTATGTTTGTTGGGTTAATATGCCACTTCTTTATATCCCACAATGTCTGGTAATTCTAACTAACTACTACTTCGCAAATTTGCGTAGCCTTGCTTCTACTCCCATATTGTCCTTAATAGTGAAGGTTAATGCGGATATATTGTAAATTACACAGAGGTAACACTACAATACATTTCCCTTTACATTCCCTTGTATTACATAACAGTCTTTGAGCTGAGGCAGTTATGGTTCTACAACCATCACCAGTTCTCTTGTTCTATCTATAATCACGACAATACAATCATCGCCTTTATGTATCACAGTCCATGATAATGTACTGTGTATAATACACCAGATGTCTTACCATGTTAGTTGTGTAGGTATATATTAGTGTTATCTTCATATTTTGATTTCTACATGGACAGTCAATGGGTGGCAGCGAAAACGAGAGTAAAAACTGAACTATAATACAACTAAATCGCTAAATCAAGATGCACTGCGATGATAACACGCTGGAATTTAGGCGTGCTATACACAGATATTGTATAGGAATCGTTGTATAACCCTGGATGTAAGTGAAAGCACCGTAAAGCCGTATATAAAATAGATAGCTTGATCAACATCAATATTTCAACTTATGTTATGAGTGAGCGTAATTGAAGCCTTATTTAAGGGAGGTTCATTTGTAAGAAATAATAAGAAGAACACTGTGAAAAGTCATTGTGGTATTACCAATATAATAGTTTTTCCGTGATCATGGGGTGTGGGGGTTATTCATACCCTGTTTATCCCATGTATCCACTTTCCTGCTCTTCTTGGTATCCTGTTCACTCTATATATCCACTTTTCTTTTTTCTGATTAGTATTCTGTTTATGTATCTCATGTATTTTTTCTACTCTACTCGCTACCCTGTTTATTCCATGTATCAAATGTTCTGCTCTACTTAGTACCCTCTTTATTCCATGTATTCACATTCGTATTCTACCTGGTACCCTGTTTATCCCATGTTTCTATTTTCCTTCTCTACTTGGTACCCTGTTTATCCCGTTATGTACTTTCCTGCTCTACTTGGTACCCCGTTTATCCCATGTACTATTTTCCTATTCTACCCGGTACCCTGTTTATCCTATGTGTCTACTTTCCTACTTTACTTGGTACCCTGTTTAACCCATGTATCTACTTTCCTATTCTACCCGGTACCCTGTTTATCCCATGTGTCTACTTTCCTACTTTACTTGGTACCCTGTTTATCCCATGTATCTACCTTCCTACTTTACTTGGTACCCTGTTTAACCCATGCACCTACTTTTCTGCTCTACTTGGTACCCCGTTTATTCCATGTACTATTTTTCTATTCTACCCGGTACCCTGTTTATCCCATGTGTCTACTTTCCTACTTTACTTGATACCTTGTTTATCCCGTGTTTCCATGTTCCTACTCAACATGGTGCCTTGTTTATTGTCTGTATCCACTTTCCTACTCTACATGGTACATTTTTTATCTCATGTATTCATTTTCCTATTGTACCTGGTACCCTGTTTATCCCATGTATCCTCTTTTCAACTCAACATGGCGCCTTGTTTATTAACTGTATCCACTTTCCTACACTACTTGGTATCCTGTTTTCATACTAATAGATAATAGATATTAGCACGTGAACATGTAATACATTTTTTTAAAATAACCAGTCAGTTACCACTCGATATGTAATATTTAAATATTTTACAAATCATCAATGATTATACCAATGCTAAAATTATACTTCATAACAATTCGGAAGCGTGTCAATTTTGTGGAACAATTGGAATAACAAGTGAGTTTGCTGTGATTCCGTACATAATATGTCACAACTTGTGTTTTCAATGCGTTGAACACAATAGTCTAAATTGGTCTATCAAACACGTTATAGATATTTTTGTACAAATCATAGATCTTTTTAGTGTCTATGTACAAACACAAAATACATACAATACATGTACCTACAATAAGCGACACTGTTTATATTAATAGCAAGTTGTTCATAACACAATAGTAGAATATTCTTAGCCAAGGTAACGAGTTTATTCACCAGATCAAAATGTTTTATTTTAACAATTAGTTCCAAACCAATCCGTGACAATCTAATAGGTACGGGCCAACGTTTCCTGGAAAAAATCCCTGACCATGAGTCAGTTTTCGAAAAACTAAATAAGAAGTTGGCAATTAGATAATCAAGCAATAGCAGAATTAACATTTAAAAGAGTGAGCGTATCCACTGAATATTCACTACATTATCTACAGAGTTTAATATTTTCTAAAATAAGAGAATTAGTGATATCGTAACAAAAGTAATTATCAAAAGAAGATAGATATTATGTAATAGTTCACTCCAGGGACTTCATAAAGCTGCAGTCAGGAACTTTGAATCTTAAGAATTATACTTTCGATTGTTTTTCACATTTTCAACAGCCAATTGCAATATTTTGTTTTCTTTTTGTTGTTGTTGTTGTTGTTGAATAACTATAAACATTTCATTTTTAATACAAAACAACTTTGAGCGATTTCAACATGCCGTTAATGCAAATGTTATTATGATAACATTTTAACAAACATTAAAAAGGTGATTTTTTCATGAACGAATTCCATAGTCAGCATTAATCACATGACATTCTTTGTGAATCGGCATAGAGAATGTACCCATTAACAGTGACGTATTTAAAGGGGTCATTGTTGAAGCCAAACTGCATCACAGATCTCTAACTTCAACATAACTGATTTTGTATCACGTTTCGGTCACTAGCATCTGTTGTCATAACAGCCTAAATTTCACCATTCTTAGGAAGAGTGATGTCAATAATCTTGCGGACAAAGAATCGCATGTTGAATGAAAGAATAAATGGATTCATAGAACTTCACAGATGAAA